CTCTCCTGATGTGCAGTAGCAGCTGATCCCAGGAGCTCCTTGTTGCACAAGGCTATGATCCAGCAAAGCTGTGCCTGGAAGGTCTCTCATATGCTGACTTGAACCGCATCGCCGGTGTCTTGTTTGAAAGTAGCTGCGTGCCAAGATCATGATGGATTGCATCCCAATTCATCGAAATTTCAAATTCCTTCAACTGAGCAGGATATCAGGATATCAAGGATATCTAACACCACCCTTGTCAAAGCCATTGGTCAGAGTCATTGTTGTCCAGATGTTGTTCTTCCACCATCCTGAAAGGTACCCGTCTCTACTGTCTTTTTTGGCAATCAGCACTTCAGTCTAGGGATGCAAATGTAGGCTGATGTAAACTTTGCCTAGATGTTGCACAGGACCGTCAGTACTACTGTACTGTGTGCTGCACAGTCAAGTTACTGTTTGGATTCAGCTTTTCAGCTTTCGCCGCCTTGGATATGTCTGAGGTGAATCATGGTCAGTTCCTGTGGCAGGCACCATCCTGCTTCTGCTGGTGCTGTGCGTGTTGCCCTTGGGAAAGGGGGGAATGCCTTTGATGCGTCCTGGCGTCTTGGATCTCCTATGTGCCCCGAACTCAAGCCCACGCTCTTCTTCACGATCATCTATGGGAGATGCGTGCTCCTTGATGGCTTGTCTTGCAACTAGCCATCTTCGCCGATCCTATGCCACAAGATTTGATTGTGATTCCGAGCTTGAGGCACAGAAGCCTGAGGCACCGTCAGGCTCCTCATCCCACATGTCAAGAGCTTCCAGGTTTGGCTTCCAGGACGATGATGACGTGGATTCAGTGCCCTCCCCCTGTGGGAAGCGGGCGCGCCGGTTCATAGATGACTGGGAAGTCCTAGACAGTGATGATGGCGGCAAAGATTTTCCTGAGACATTTCCAGACACGCTGCATCAGTGACTTTTTTTTTGCCGGCCTGCATTTTGTCGACAATAGTTTGGGGGGTTGGCTGAGTCTTTGTGAGGACCGCCAACCATAATTTTGAGTGTGAAGCAGTCACTTTGAATCACTTTCGCCTGGATTGCTGGAAGAAGCTTTTGGCGTTGCTAGGCTAGGTCGTGGCTCTATGTATTTGCCAGTTACACAGAGCTTGTGGCGCGCAATAGGCATGATGTGCGAGCAGCCTTGAGGCTTCGGTTGCTTGTTGATGTTGTCGAGGTTGTTGGTTGCTGGTTGAGCATTGAGCAAGTATATATGAATCCACTGAATCACTCACTCCGGTAAACACCCCAGAAGGGACACTCCAAACATTTCGCTTCATGCGCATTAGCCTTAGCCTTTGCCAAGTAGCCTATCATACTATCGGTAGAGACAAGGATTTGCTTGGTTGCAAGTTGTTTTTGCCTATGCTGACACGGACGCTTGTTTAGTTGTGGTGGCCGCTGCTGGCCTGCTCACAGGGACACACATTTTGACCTTTTTGTGGTGCCTTCCAGCCGGCCTTTCAGTTCGCTTCATGGCAGAGCAGGCGAGGGAAGTCAGGCAAATGGACCGCGCTCTGGCTGACGCTCAAGATCCGCTGCTTGGGAACGAGGTTGAGGGGACATGTTTGATTTGCTCGCAAGTCTTCGGAAGCCAAGATCAGGACTGACATCAGTTCAGTTCAGTTATCAATTTCACACTTTTCACAAAATGGCCCAAATGGTTTTTAACCTAAGGACTTTGAAGGACAAAGACAAAGAAGACAAAGTAGAACACATAGATAGACTGATTGATAGACTGTAGACTCAGAACCTTTCAAGCCCGCGTAGTCTCCATGGGCCTTCACTATCCCAGGGCGTGAGACACACTGCATTGGTTTGGACAAGGGCACAAGGGCTTGGAATTAGGTGCTTTGATCCGCAGGACGCTCCACCTGGCCATTCCTTGAGGGTGTCAACGGCCAAGAATGACAACAAAGGCCTGTGCCTGAAATGCTACTACATAAAGCGAGGCAGCTTTGGCTCCCTCAAAACCGGTGAGCTGGTGGACTTGATCAAAAGCACTCCAGCTTTGAAGGACAAGCGTTCAGGCTTCAATAGAAACCCTTTGATCCGCCTGTCTGTCGTCACAGTCGCAGTCCGGTTATTGATTATTTGATGGTTCAGTTCAGATTGGTTGTTTGACGGCTAGGCTAGACTGGACTGGACTAGACAGACTAGTATAGACTGGACCGGACTGGACTAGACTGATGATGATGATTATTATGTGATGTTGATGTTGGTGATCTGTAAATTATAGCTAGAGTCCAGTTATAAAGACTACCTTGGAATCATCGGAATCATACATTAAGATTCATGATTTGGACGATCATGCTCTTCCAATCTCCTCCAATTTTGATGCCGTGATTCAACTAGATACCTGGTTCCTTGTTGTCTAGCTGCGCTAGCAGCCACTCAGGTTTTCTTCGCTGAGGGCAAAGCACGTGTCCGTCACGTGCTTAAACCCTAAAGCACGACCCAGACATGAATGCATCAATGTGAAGCTCTACACGGAGCAGCGGGAATCTGACTACTGTGACTTCTTTCAGGACTCGGGTGTCCTGCACAGTTGCACAGGTGGTTTAGCTCGAATTGAGGGGAGAGCTTCTTACGTTTCTGGTTGAAATCAGGAAACAAAACCCTGGCCCTGTGAGGAAGGCGAGTGGCTGAGCGTGGCAAAGTATTGGGAGTTACATGCGCCACAGGAGCTGAAGCAGAAGAAGCGTACTCTAGCACAAAAGAAATCGTGGATTACAAAAGATTCTCAGACTCAGACTCAGTACTACTACTGACTACTACTACTACTACGACGACGACTACTACTACTACTACTACTAGGACTACTTCTTCTTAGTCTTGAGTCTTTGTTGTTTGTTTTGTTTTTTGACTTCCGCACGTAACATCCCCCTGGTGAAGGCGGCCAGGCGTACCCTACAGCACAAGCAGATTTTGGAATCTATATAATATAAATTAAAGATAACAAAAACAAAACAAATTAATTTATATATATAGTTAGTCATTGTCGTTGTTATTTGTGAACCAAAGAATTTGGCATCTACAACGTAGGGCCTAGGGGGGTCTGTATTGGGTTGGGTAGATTTTTCCAAATCTGATGCACTCTCTTTCCCATTGCCAGTCTTGACTCACTCAGGAAGTTGGCTTGACCTTGCAGCCTGACCTGGGCTTAAATGACGTTTCCGAAGTGTTAGAACATGTCTCCTTTGTTGAGGGGGAATGTTAATTTCACTTCCTTCTGTAATCTACTTTACTTTTCCTATCTTTTCCTTATGCATCCCCATCAGGATGAAACTGGCGAAGAGGGAGTGGTCATCTTCCCAGAGGGCGGACGCAAGAAGGTGCGCATGGGCAACAAAGTGTCTGCAGACAAGATTCGGCAGGCAGAGCATGAATCTGGCGGCCAAATGAGAGATCAGCACGAGACCAACATGGCAAAAGTCAAGATTGAGACCAACGACGAGGCAGGCAACTTCTGGCAACTCTGAGGTTTGAATACTCCGCCTGTTGGCACTATGATAGTGTATGGTGTTGGCAGTATGTGAGAGTATGTAGTGTACCACGCGGTACATGCGCTTTCATGAGGTGAACTGGTGATGGTGACGTGGACGTAGTGACGTAGCATACACACGTCAGTTATGTGAAGTCAACAGATAATATGACAATGACGATATGACAAACAATTAATATATACAACGCGAGGTCTAGGCAAAAGGATCGGAAAGGCGCGATTACCAGGGATCTGGAATGAACAATTAACCAGGAAAGAGCATGGAAATTGACTCGATTCATGCACGGGTATCGGTATGGGTGAAGCAAACATATTGCTGTGAGTTTGTGAGTAAAAACATTCCGTACGAATCGGCGCCCACTGTGGCACCATAGGGTCCATGGATTCACTGCCAGCCTGCAGTACCTAGCCTAGCCTAGTGCAAAGACTACTTGACATTTAAGGGTACCAGAAACATGCCACCAGATTTCAACCACGTGCAACCCTAACCCTGACTAAGACTAAGACTTAGACTACGACTCTCTGACGGCGCTTTGCAAGCAGTTTTGGGCCAACAAAAAACTATGGCTCCCAGTTGCTTCGTCACAGGATACCAGCTTTTGTACTTGTGCGGTGGTTATGCGATCTGGAATGAGGATGAGGACAGGATATGATAGGATGAGGATTTTTAGGAGGTAGGAAGTTAGGAGCTTAGACAGGAGGATAAGGAGGACGAGGACTGGCAGATTGCCTTTGGTGGACAGTAGAGCTCTAAGTAGCGCCTTCCGTTGAATGCGGCCAATTAGGAGGGCTTAGGAGTTAGGATCGGGGGCACGCTTGCCTGCCGCTAGGAGGGTTATAGGAGGATGAGGATTGGCAGCTTGCCATTGGTAGATGGTAGTAGTCTACTAGTACCTGTGCGGTAGAGCTCTAAGTAGCATGCCGTCTTTTTTGCTTGCCCGCAATTCCGCGAACGCCTCCGCTGAAAGCCTTGGGTTCCTTGATCGCCACTTGCCCACGTTGTTCCCATCCCTGGTAAACAAATGATTGCTTGGCTAAAGGCTACCTTCTAATTTCCCAAGTGTTCTAGTTGTGGGGCTTCCTGTTTCGTGTGGCTTTATGGTCTGAAAGCAACATTTTGTGGGCCTCCAAGATTTCAGGGGTGATACGAGATTCTACAACTGTACAAAAGTAGAGTCAGTAGAGGGCCGAATGGGAGAGACTCTTTTGGGGGGAGGGCTATTGCTGACAATGGACGGTACACTGTAGACTAACTATGGTATAGTGTTCAGTACAGTAACAGCATATTTATATATTTAAATTTTATAATTAATCGTCTTTGAACTAGACTTATGTAATAACGGTCATGTAACATACATACATACATACATACGTACGTACGTACGTACATACATACATACATACATACGTTAGTTACATACTGTTACATACTTACATACTGATTAACAAAAGTGTTTCTGCCCCTGGCATTGCGCAGGAGGAAGCTGTCGAGAAATTGGCCAAGGCGAAGGATGGCGAGGTCAGTGAAGAGGAAGCGGCGCAGATCGAGCACCCAGATGAGGAGCACTCATCAGATAGTGATGCCGGCATCGGAGTGAAGCGGGTTGCTGAACCAGAGCCGAAGAGGCGTCGACGGGCCAAAGGCTCTGAGAAGCCTGAGAAGCCTGAGAAGCCTGGAGTTCCTCAGGAAGCGCAGCCCAAATCAGCAGCGTCAGGTGCAAAGCGCAAGGCGTCTCAGAAGGCGGATGAATTGTCAAATGGCTTGAAGGGAGCCGAGGCCTGCATTTCTGCTTTGGATACTTTCCATCCTATGAATTTCTGGCAAGGGAGTCTCAAGCGCAAGGACATTGACAAGCGCTTGGCATTGGCGTACCAAACGCAAAGTTCTTTGGAAGAATTTGTGGAGACGAACGCTGATGCCCAAAAGCTTTGTGAGTCATTGATGGTCAAATCCCAGCAAGTCACAGATTGGCTTGATGCCCTCATCCCTTTGTGGAATCAAGACATGAGGCTGACGCGTGCCAGGAACATGGACAAGGAGGACATGACCAAGCTGATCAAAGTGGTTCCAAACGACTGCATGCATGCTATGCTGGTAGATGTTGGACGGCACTTTTGGGAGGACTGGCCACTGATTGTTCACGGCACCTCACTGATTCACTGTTAGAATTTTTAGTAGTAGTCGTAGGTGTAAGTCTTAGTAAACCACACTTAAACTGACTGACTGCCTTGTAAAGGAGAGACTGAGTCCCCTGAGTAATTGACATGTAGTGCCCACCTCCATGTGTCTTTTGGTTTTGCTTGCAAGGACAAAGTGGCAACTTCGCCTTGTGACGCTACCACCACCTTGCTGCAATACGTGGCCCTAAGCCAGGGCGCCAACCAGAGTGACGACACACCCGTTGGCTTGAACCTTCAGGCCCTCATGTCACACGGGTGCTCTTTGGGTGTTGCAGGCCTTCTACAGGTTCAGGCAGCGCTGTTGAACTTTTGGTTCGATTCCGTCCAGAAGATCCCCGACATTGACAGCATGTTGCAGGGCATCCCGGACGCACTCTGGATTCCTGACATTATGAGGACAGGCATCAAGTGCTTTCCTTCAGAGGGTTAAACCCAATTTGGTACCATGTTGTTGCTTCATTTGTGCCAACAAACACACATCTCCACATGAGTTGAAGGCGGATGCCTGTCGGTGTAAGGCCCCAAGGCGCTGTAAAGAAGCTATAGCATAGCTATAGCACTCTGTAATAATTCTAGTCCTCATCGTGATTGATTGTATGTCACCAGTGATGTGTAGGATTTGCAGGATCATGGATTCGCATTAGTGACGATCATGTTCCTGAGGAATTCACACATAATGTAATGTAATGTCGTAATGCAGGGACACTGCAAATGCAGGAGGTATTCCGAGCCTGTGCAGAAGTTGACGCTTCAGATTCAGGGGGGAGCAGAATGAGGTCAATTCCAGCGGTGTTGCAACCAAGTTCTTAGTAGACCTCCAGCGCTTTGTGGCTTGCCGGAAGGTGATGCAGCAGGAACATATGGTTGAGGCCTCGCTTTGCGCCACTTTCAAGGTCCTGGTGGCCCACAGCAAGATCTTCTCTGGACGCACCAACCTTCTCTTCCGGTCCAATGTTCGGCTCAGGACGGATGATTCATCGATCCAGTCATCATGCATTCATTCGTTCGTGCGTTCATTCGTTCATTCAGAACTTTGAGTTTATCTACTACATTTTAATGCCGCCTATTGAGCTTCGGGTTCTTGAGAACCCTGCACTCTCTAGTTACATACAATTCCCTATGGATTCACTCCGTCGGCAGGCCCATTTTGCACTTTTGTCAGGAAAGTATGTTTTACAGGTTTTGGCTTGGGCGTTAGGCTTCCAAGATTCCCAGATTTCAATCAAACCTTTGACCGCTCGCACCCTGTGAGGGATTTGTGGGGTTCAGTGCTCGATGTCTCCAAGCATCAAGTTGACCTGCAAACAGCCGTACCGCTTGCTGGCAAGTTCAAGGATGCCTTGGGCAAGTTCATCTCCTTCTTGCAGAAGCACTTGCAGGGGCAGGGTCTTGACATTGCCAAAGGCCAAAGCTTGATGGAGAAGTGCAAGTCAGGCCAGTCTGTTTTGCTCGCTTTGGGAAGCTCTAGCGAACCGGATCATGTGAACCTCAAGACAGAGCTTGAAGGCTTGATTGCTGAACTCCGGACATTCGTGAAGGAGAACAATTGGTGCTCGGACGAAGCCGCAAACATCTTTGGGGGGTCTGTTCAAGGAAGGTATATGCTTGTCTTTGTCTGATGACAAGGTGGAGTTGTTGAAGCGCGACATCCTTGGAGGCCGGATTGGTCAGTCTTCCTCCGTGCATGTGTCACTTTTTGTGAGACTGACATTGACATTTTGCTAAGCAAGAGATGAGAGATGATGAGATGTTTGATTTATTGGAGGCCTTGTAGCTTGTTGACTACATGCCACATGACATGTTTGTTGGAACCTATCCTGCAGGACAAATCAAGGCCACGCTGCTTGGAGATGAAAGGGCAGCCGCCACATTTGCGATGGCCCACTTGCTTGAGCCGCTGCTTGGGTGGTCAAATGAGGATGAAGTCCCAAGCCTTGACAAGATCAGTTCGTTCTATGTGGACTTTCAGCGCCAGATTTCTTCTGAGACCGTGCAGTCTTTGAAGCCAGGTTGGCTCCCTCATGCTGCAGCCGCCTTGTCATGCTTTGAAGGCCATTTCAGCAAGACTGGAGAGGCTTGGAGCAAGAGTACCTGGAAGTCATCCGGTCCTGATGAGATCGCAACCATGCTTGAGAGCTGCAAGCATTTGCCGAGCAACCTCCAGTCCGTGCTTCAGCTGGCCAAGTCTGCTTCCATCTTTGACAAGTTGGAGCCGTTTGCACAGAAGGAGTTTGAGGACTTTGACAAGGAGCTTGCTCCTTTCCTGAAGGTTGTGAAGAAGTGGATCACACTTTGTTCCTTTGACAAGGATTGCCTGCAAGAGTATCTCTTGGAGGAAACCCTCCAGCGAGCTGATGATTTTGTCGATTCGGTTGAGGGTGCTTTGACCACTTTCTTCAAGCAAACGGAAGCCGAGTACAAGGTCGTTCTCCCGCTGGTTGAGAAGTACAAGTAGCTGGTCTGCCCAAGACTAAATCAAGAGTAAAGGAGGTCAGTCGGTCATCTAATGCAAGCCACTTCTAATGCAAGCCACTGATTCCCAAACCGATCGTGTTTGCAAGCCACATTGATGGGGTCAGGGTGGTAGACATTAAGGATCGACAAGTAGATTATCGACTGGACCACACATGTGTGACTATCATATCATATCATTATCGTATCATCATAGACTAGTGAACTTTATCAATCACATGATTGAATGAAGGAATAAATTAATGAATGCTAAAAAATATAATGATTGATAACTATACTTTAGGGTGTGCATGGGCCTCTTTAGTGGCCATGCCCTGTCAGTGTGCTAAGGGGGGTCCTGAACTATATATAAATCAAGCCGAACTATATATAAAACCCACCGAACTATATATAAATCCCTGGGGGCCTATATACCTAAAACCCTGTGAGATAACCCATGATAAAGGATGTCATGCACTGTGCATAGGGATGAACCATTTGCAGCTTTGTTTCAATCAAGTAGGGCCCGCCATAGAGTTGTGATTCTTGCCATGAAAAAAAATCGTTCGAAAGCGCATCAAAGTTCGAAGAAGAGTTCGAGTTAAGAGAAAGAACAAAGGCCAGACATGACAGAAGCAAGCAGAAACACCAGGCCAGTTCCCGCTACTCCCACCACCACCAAAGGCACGGCGACCATTGCCATTGCCCCCACCACTACCCCCATCCCTGCCACTACCAGCACCTCCGCTACCCCCCCAGACCACCACCAGTGCCGCAGAACAAGCCAGCTTTGCTTCTACCACCACCTCCACCACCATATCCCCGCCCACCACCCTTACCTCCCAAGCCACCAGCTCCACCTACAAGACTGTCACCCGGGCCCTCCCTCTGGCCCCGGCACTATTAATGCTGTGCTTGGGACTTTGCGTGATGGCAGAGCCATGGTTTGGTTTAAGTGCAGCTTTCAGTGACTGAATCATTCGACCATGGATTCAACAAGCGCAGAATTGAATGGCATCAAGGCAGCACATGAGCTCATTTGGGTCCGCTTTCTTTTATCAGATTCAATCCTTTTGTTTTTCTTCCATTTGCCATGGCGGTTCGCAAAGACATTGAGCAGCAGCAGGAGAGACTCTGTTGATTTATTAAAGCACATGTGTCACATGACTGCACACATGCCCTGATCTCCAGCCTCCCCACCATGGACCATCATGCACCTAGCAAAGGCCCTGAAACCTTTTGGCAATGGACGAGGGCGACAGTGATGGAAACAAGTTTGGTGTTCTCATTCAATGCAAGATTCGAATTGGACGTGCTGTCCATGATGTTCAAAGGGACCCCGGGTACTAGAAGTCTTTGTTTTTGAATTGAATTGAGTCGGTCAGTGACAGTGAGTTCTTTTTTGCCAGACGTTAAATGAGATGGGGATGGCCTGGGGCCTGGTAATGTGCCTGAAACGGGACCAACCCAGTGGCTTGCATCCAGGGACTGCAGCGGATGAGCCTCACCTTCCCTTTCTGGATTGGCCAAGGCTCTTTTGCGATGCCTTGAAGCTGGACCTTCATTCGTTTGAGAGATTCCAAGAGACCCCGTGCCCTGAATGACATTAGTTGAAGGGTTGGGATCTTTAGGCTAAGCTTTCTGGCTCAGTGGTAGACTGTAGCCAAATGACGACCTTTTCAATTTTCAAGACCAGACCAACCGACCAACCTTTTCTCACTTCTTCCAAGTAAACACTTGGTTATGTTTGGGGGCTGTGATTCACTTTTGATACATGGCCCAGGCTACAAATGGTGGAAGCATGTGCTGGGAGTGGTACATCCACCTACATACTGTGGCCCAGTTGCACAAAGAACCGGTCATGTCACGCATTGCACCTTTGTGGGCGCACACTATTTGTACGTTGTAGGTACTGTAGGTAGGTTGTGATTTGGCATTAGTTGAAACAGCTTTAAGCTAATCAGCTGACTGACTACTTTATGCCTACAATGCCGCCTTAGAGTGTAGTGTTGCATGGATCAGGGGGGAAATCGCATCATGCACCGCTATGCGCTGGCAAACTATTGCTGCACTGGAGAAGGACGTCAAGAAGCAGAAGTTTCTGATGGCCAACTATGACAGGGAACAGAGACACTGGGCTATATTCCCAATTTCCCGGTCCTGGCCCGATTTACATGTTCCAGTATCGTATCTTTAAACCACTGCCACCACTGCCTATGGGGCCCATGACCCAAAGTGTTCTTTCAGGTTCCCCTGTTCAACTCAAACCTAAACCCAATTTTTTAAGATGTCGGACTGTCGGGCATTGTCGGCCCATCCGAAACCCTAAACCCTTAAGTTTTGGCCTTTAGGAGCAGGGCTTGTCCCAAACCCTAGCCAGCTAAAGGTTGTAAATGTCTGGGGCCCGAAACCCTAGCCCCACTTCTAAAC